GGTAGCCAGGCACCATCTAGTTCTTCTGGTCTCAGGCTGATGCAGTCTCTGGTTTATGTGGCCCTTTCTGTCTCTTGGGTTAATACTTCCCTTGTGTCTTTGGTGTTCTTCATTCTCCTTTACTGCAGGTGGGTTGGGACCAATTGATGCATCTTAGATAGCTGCTCGCTAGCTTTTAAGACCCCAGATGCCACTCACCAATTTAGGATGTAGAACATTTTCTTAATAAACTTTGTTACGCCAGCTGACCTAGATTTCCCCTGAAAGCATGCTTCCCAGACTCTTGCCCCTGCTACTCTGTCCCTCTAAGTGTTTGGTTATATTCAGGAGACTTCTTAGCTTTGGGTTAGTCCAGTTGCCAACACTCATTTCTTAGTTGTGGGATAAAAACACCCAGACCTACTGAGGAAATGCTCTTTTTTTTTTTCAATCAAGGTGAAATTCATCTAACATAAAATTAATCATTTTAAAGTGAACAATTCAGTGGCATTTAGTACGTTCACAGTGTTGTACAACCACCACTTCTACCTAGTTCCAAAACATTTTCATCACTCAAAAGGAAACCTGAACCCATTAAACAGTTACTCTTTATACCCTCCTCCCCAGACTCTGGCAACCAGCAATCTGCTTTCTGTCTCTTTGGATTTATCTATTCTGGATCTTTCATATAAATGCATTCAGTATGTGACCCTTTTGTATCTAGCTTCTTTCACTTGGTGTAATGTTTTTAGGATCATCCATGTTGTAGCATATATCAGTATTTAATTCCTTTTTATGGATAAATAATATTCCATTTTATTTATATATAGTATAAAATATAAATATATTTATTTGTATAATAATATATATATACATGAGCCCTGGTGGCACAGTGGTTAAATGCTCGGCTGCCAATTGATAGTTCAGCAGTTTGAACCCACTAACCACTCCATAGGAGAAAGATGTAGCAGTCTGCTTTTGTAAGGATTTGCAGCCTTGGAAATCCTATGAGGCAGTTCCGCTCTGTACTGTAGGGCCGCTATGAGTCAGAATCAACTCATATATGTGTGTGTGTGTATATATGTATATATATTTTATATATATATATATATATATATATATATATATATATGCACACATAATGTGTGAGTTGAATGTTGTAGCCCAAAATGGATATCACATTTGTTTATCCATTCATCCATTGACTGGCATTTGGGATGTTTACAGCTTTTGGCTGTTGTGCATAGTGCTGTTATGAACATGCATGTACATGTATTTGTTTGAGTACTTGTTTTCAATCCTTTTGGGACTATATGTAGGGTATATTGCTGGGTATATGGTAATTCTATGTTTATCTTTTTGAGGAACCGCCAAACTGTTTTCCATAGCTGCTGTGCCATTTCACATTCCCACCAGTAATGCACCACAGCTTCAATTTCTCCACATCTTCACCAACACTTGTTATTTTCTATTTTTGTTTTTAATTATAGCATTCCCTTTTTAACCGCAGTTGATTTCTAGGAGAATATAAGAAATGACACCTTCCCTCACAGTTCTTTTCTCTAAATCTGTGCTGTACTTACTTTGGATAGATTTCTTTTAAGCATTATATAAAAGAAAAAAGTATTTCTTCTTCTTGAAGGCATGATTTATTTTAGTTTTCCACATTTTTTAAAAGCAAGTACTGAAATAAATCTTTGCTTATTAGCATATGCTAATGTGCTTTATCTGATGGAATAAACCTCAGCCTGAGAAAACGGAAGAGGATACATTCTTCGTCAATGAGTAGCAGATTTTGAAATGATCTGGGAAGGAGCACCACACATTTCTGAAAAACTGACATAACTGATGTATGTCCCCCTCCTCTGCTGCAGTGGCCCCTCTTCTTTCCCCCAGTGTCCCCATCTCAGACTGGTTAAAGTCAGTATAGGCAGGGACACGGATTCTGAACTGCTGCTTCTGTTGCCTGCAATGTATATAGACTGTTTCTTGTTACTAATTTCTTTCCTTTAGATGTTTTAGAAAATGTTAACGCTAATTTCAGAACTTTAGAGATGTCAGCGTGCCAAATAGCTTCTCAGTCCTTGGCCTGGGGCTAAGAATCTGCAGGCAGGTCCCTGCTGGCATTCTGTAGGCTGATACTGGAATTTTGCTTCAGCCTCCTTGATTTAGGATTCTTTTATATCTGATTCTGTGGTACGTGAAAGAAATACAAAGACTTGACAAATTAGGAAAATGTAATCTAACCCTACTGCAAGCAAAGCATTTAGAAGAGAATATTGCTCCCACTCGTGCGTTTCAAAATACGACCATGGAAGTCATGGCTCTGACACTGTCAAGACCAGAACGTCTAAAGGAAGAATTAGTCCATGTGCTTTTGTTAGCCTACCTCGGATCACCAGCATAATCAGTTCTCTTAAGCTTTTTTATGATGACACTCTTCAGAATATTGCTTTTATCAGGAATCAGGGAACTAGGAAGAGCTATTTACATTTTTCAGGACTAGGGTGATCATGCATCCGGGTTTGACCAGGACTTTCCCTGCTGATTCAGCAAAACTGTTAGTAGCACTCCCTTTTACTTTCAGAAGTGCCCTGTTTAGATGACCCAGCATAGGAACCAAGCAAATACGTGTCGGAGAAAATGAAATTTGGACAGGGTAAAAATAAAAGAAAAAAGAGAGAGAGAGAAACTTTACAATTTCATTTACTTGTATAAGAAGTGTGTTGTGGTTATGTTGTTGTTAGTTGCTGTCAACTGGATTCCAACTCATGGTGACCCCATGTTTGCAGGAAGCAGATCACCAGGCCTGTCTTCCGAAGCATCTGCGTGGGTCTGAACCACCAACCTTTTGGCTAGTAGTCAAGTGCTTAACCATTTGTACCACCAAGGGATTCCTAAGAAGTACATAGACTCTAACATATTCCTGTGCAAATAGATGGTCAGATCTCATGCATATCACCCTATATTATAAATAATTGCTGGTTACCTAGTCTTTCTTCTTTGCCAGACTGAGAAGATACTTGAGTGCAGAGAGACACTTATATGCTCTTATCTATTATATTCCCCAGTGCCTGGCCCATAGTAACTTCCCAATAAATGTTCATTGAATAATGCTTATTAAATGAATGAGTGAATGAAAGCATGAATATGATCCAAAGGACTAAAATTTTAAAACTGGATTTACTTGTGATTGACTATCTTAATAGGTGGACATGCCTAGATCTTGTAGGCTATAATTGAATTTGTGGTGAAGAATTCAACATATGGTAAATGGAATTTCATTTGGTTAATATTAACTCCCTTATCTGAATTTGCTGCTTCTAATTTTGAGATCTGAGAGTGATGGCCCTCTACATTTTCTTAACCAGGAAATTTAAAAGAGAACTATCATCATCCCTGTTCTTCTCTTGGTCTGTCTCTCCGTCTCTCTTGCCTTTAATCTGTGTCATTTATTACTGGGAGTGAAACTATAATGGAAAATCTAACTAATGGGGGAGTAGATGTAGCCAGAGCCTCTGGTCTCATCATCCACAGTGATGAGAAGCGAGTATCACTACAAGAATTATCTCTTTAGTAGAAATAAGGCACACAGTCTTTGAAACCTTGGAAAACCTTTGAAATCTAGAAGGGCCCTAAAAGGGCAACAAGTGCATTTCCATCCCCATTTTGCTGATGAAGAGTTTAAGGCTCATAGAGGCAAGAATGGTAGAAAAAATGGAACTTAACAATCATTGGCTAAAAGAAAGATATTTGGTGAAAATGTATATTCTGATAGTACGAGGGTGAATCAGATTCTTATGCAGCAAAAGGTAGAGTGAATAGAAGTAGTGCAGCACTAGGAAGTAAGAAACCAGGGATCTTTCTCCTAACAGCCACCTAGTAATATGCAACT